TTTTTTGTTTCTGCATAGATGGGATATCAGTAGTTTGTTGAGTGTTTTTTTCTCCTTTTCTTTGCGTGAACTCCCATGTAATCGGGAAAAGCATCGAGGAACCTCAGAAAAGATTATACATCGTCTCATTGCGAAACCTCTGAGCTTATTTGGATGACGACATAGCAGAGTCAATGAATGAAAGTCATTTGTTTTTTTAGCTTTGAGCGCTGCAGGATTGGTCGTCGTTTTTTGTATCTAATCATTTTTTCTCGGTCTGTTTGGTTTTTTATTGATCACGTTCTAAAGAAATATGTTATTTTCATGTATGATTTTTTATTATGATATAAGTCTCGTATATGGATTGTATTCTTGTAGATTTTGCTGCTTTTTTTAACATGTTTTTTTCTCAAGGAATCTTGTTGTTAAATAATTTTCTGTATTATTTATTATTATTTTGTTTAAACGTTATGTTTTTCAATTTCGGTTGTAATACTTTAGATATTACAGCTTACGAATGGTGTTGGAGAGTTCCTTCTACCTATAGGAAGTAAAACTGATACCATTTATGTAGCCGTTTTGAGTACAGTCTTGTAAGGTTTCTGATCAGTACTTTGTTTTGGAATGCAGACTAGAGATATTTTCTAAGGAAAAACACTGGATTTTGAGTAAAAGGTAATTTTAATTCTCATCTGACACTTAATGTTACTAAACATTGAATGCGGTTCAAATTACCTCAAGTCCAGTTACTGTGATATCGTATTTTGAGGGAGAACTGCTTCAGACTTTATTTTTCATTTTTTGAAATGACTTATCTTTTTCCAAATAACCCTTATGCACCATGAAATACAGACGTCAAACGGAAAAATGGATTTAAGTTTAAAATGCCTGTTAATTTACTCATGAGCGAAGTTTTTCGAAAAAGTTTAAAAACTTAAAGTTTTGTGAATTTTTATTTAAGCGTATAATTTTTCATGACATGCGGGAGCTGCTGGAGCGCGTGCAGCAGCATTTTGTGAAACGGACTGAGATAGGTTTTAAAAAACAGACAGTTTCGTAGAAACTAAGTGGCTTATAAAAACGGACTTTTTTATCGATATGTAGGAAGCACTTTCCTTATTTTTAACACGGTCTGATGAAGTGTGAT